ATATATCAAATTTTGTGTGATTTTGGCTGCCAATTGTTTTTGCAGGAGAGGAGATGACTGCCATATATTCAAACCTCAATTTTACCTAAACCTATGGCCTCAAATGACCTCTATTGATGCAGCCTAACCTAATCTCCAGCCTGAATTAAGTGCTTTGTCATTTTCTTGAGCATATTTTCAAGAAATGTTTGCTGGATAAATGAATGAATGATTGAATGAATGAATCTAAGTACCAGAAGTTCACATTTGCTGGTTCAAAATGTGGAGCCTACCACATGCCTGGGCCTTCTGCCTCTGTGGAGAAAAAACGCAGAGTGCTACAGCTGCTCATGTAACTTCAGAATTCCCATGGGAAACTCTCACTGAGAGTGTCATTCTGGACATCTCCTCCCTATGAGCAGACACCGTCTTAGATGCTCTCAACAGGATAGTACATGATGCTTTCTGCATCGGACTTCCCGCATCCCCTCGCCTCCATTCAGTTTAACAATGAAGAGCACCATCTCTACAGGTTTCCATCCGCCCTGCAAATGTCTGCACCGTGGGCCAATCTTCTATCCCAGACAGTATCTGGTGGCAGCGTAGACCAGCAGTCATAGCCACAGGGAACCTGCCCTCTACTGTGTCAACAGCTCAGAATCCGCAGAAAGCAGCCTGAGCCAGGGACACTAGCTGGAACTATTTCAAGGCACGTCCACACCCAGCCCTTTACCTGCACAGTCACTGAGGTGATTAGTCCCAGGGCATTGCCCCTCCAATTCCTCCCTCCCTGCAGCTGCACACTCCCTTCCACTGCTCATTGGTGTCCCTGGCCTGTCTCAACTGTCAGACATCAGTCCCCAACCCCACTCACTCACGTAGCCCCAGTCTCTATGGAGGGTCCACTGTACGCAGAGGGAGCATCCCACCTCCAGCAGGCATCAAGACAGCTCCCAGCCCTAGGACACTGGCAAGGTTGCACTGGACCACTAGAGTACTCAAGAGTGTTGCTCACCCAAATAATGCAGGGGAGCAGCTATGCTCTTCCTGATAGGACACAGGGGAGACTCTAAGGGAGGAGGTAGTGTCTCGCATGTCACTGGGCCTCTCTTCCAGTTCGCCTTCTACTCAGACCACACTGAGACTTCCAGCTGGTAATGATGATTCTGAGCTTTCCCAAGCCTATTCATGTAAATTGTCCAGTACCATCCACCCAGTTTCCCCATCATCTCTCCTTCTGGACTCTTCTCATCCCTAAATTGAACTCTGGACTCAGAGCCCTGACTGCCAGCCTGCCTGGGGCTCTCTGGACTTGGTTTTGCATGTGGTCTCTCTCACGGACTCTGGCAATTGCTGTTCTCCGGATGCTCTTAATGCCTTTCCCTGACTGAGGACGTCTTGTCTGGTCCACTTCCCTGGCTCCTGGTCATTCTGGCCAAATCCTTGCTCAAGTAAAGGAGAACTGTCCTGCTGACATTTTAGAATTTTAAATTGTGCCCAGAGGAATATTTTTACTCAGGCCATCGCTGCAGAAACCCAGCTTTTTATGGGTGAGGGAGTAAGTTAATTTGCTTCTTAATCTAGTGAGGAAATGGAAGACACAAATAAAACAATAGTGAGACAATATTTTTTCTCCCATAATTTTGCCCCTAATTTGAAAGATTGATAGTATAAAATGGTTCTGAGCATGTAGGTTATTAAAGTACATTAATTTATGAGAAAACAAATTGTTACAGCATTTTTGGAATAAAGTTTCAGCAATATTTATAAAAACTTAAGATATTCACACCCTTTCCACTTTAATCCAATTTTCCACATTAAAATGTCTTTTTATGAGAAAACACACACATTTGCCTAAGAATTCATGCTCAAAGATGTAGATTTAAGTTCTATTAATTATACAAAAAATAGGAAACAACTTATGCATTGATCAGGAGAAGAAGTGTTTAATTAATTATGGCATATACATACTTCAGGATTCTAGAGAGTATTTACTAAAGCGAGGTGGATCCATATGTGCTGCCGTGGGAAGATTCTGCATCCATTTTATTAAGCGGCGAAGGCAAATGTCAGAGGAATATGTGCTCATTACCCATGCATGTTGACAAAACACAATATATTTTTATAGTATATCTATAAAAAAAAGCCTGGAATCAGGTTTAACATAATACACATCAGATTACTAACTGCAGTTAACCCTGAGGAGAGGGCTGAATTTGGGGGGTACTTTGTAAAGGAAAGAATTGTGATTGATCTGTCTTTTCAGAATGTTTTGCAAATAGGTATATATACACAATTACCTTTGTAATTAAAATATTTACATAAGCCTAACAACAGAAATAAGCACTGGGCATTAATCAGTTAAAGCAACTGCTAACTTATGCAACAAACAAATCCTGAAATTTGAATGGCTTAATACAACCAAGTTGTTGTTGTTGTTGTGCACATAAATTCCAATGTGGGTTGGCAGGGATTCTCCACTCTCAGGTGACCAAGGGGCCCAGGCCGCTTCCATCTTGTAGCTCCGCTATCTCAACACAAGGTCTCCATGTTTGCTGCTGAGTGGCAGAGGCGACATGGAAATGGCATACTGGCTCCTGCCCAACTCCAAGTGGACCGCCAAGGAAGGAGAGAAAGACAAGAAGTGGATGAGCACTTGGAGTCTCTCCCATAAACTGTCACATATAGGTGCTCAATAAAAGTAACTACCATAATTTGTTATGACGACAATCTTCTTCATTTCTTGAAGGAGTTCCTGGGAAGACCAAATTTGCCTGGAAATTCACCAACATTTTCACGAGCCTGCTATGGGATAGGTGCTTTTAAATACAGGATCACATGTAGTTTTCAAAGGATCCTGTAAATATTAGCAGGGAGCTCTGCACTTCCCTTTGCAATAGCCTCTATAATCTCAGTAGGCTGAGAATTTTCTCTGTTCTTAAAGGGCATAAAGTCTTAACTTGTGAGTCTTGCTACCCTCCACATGAGCAAACATTCTCAAGCACCTGTACAGGTGCTGTTAGGCATACCACAAACCAGGAGTTTCCCGCGGGGCAGATACACAGACAAGAGGCAGTGGAAGGATGATTAATTATTTTTTTCTTATTTAATCAGAGCTAACGTGTCCACTAAGGAACAATGGTTCACCTCCTAGGAGGACTCCAGGGTTTGAGGAATTCAGCCCCTGCAGATGTTCGCTTATATAGAGATTTCCATGGTGTTTCCTCACCTTCCGCTTATGAGGGAGGCTTTAGTTTTTGACCATTTATGTAATCTCATCCATCTGTCGATGTGACCAGTGGCTTGTTTCAAATTATACATCTTATTAGAATCCTACTGCAAATATCAGTGACATTTCAAAACCCCTAACTTCAGGGTTATATCCCAAGAACCAGTAGATTATGTGCAAATCAGGCTCTATTCACTAGCTCCTTTGAAAAATAATTTGAGAGTGTGTTGAAGATGCCAGGAGGGATACCCAGGTGTCGTAAACATTCTCCAAAGTGCGCTTTTACTTCAAAGGGGCTGTTGCTACGGAGGTTCTAGAAAGGAGAATGGAACAGCCAGATGGCTTCTGCAGGGAGTAGGAATGCTCTATGTCAGGGCTGAGGCAGGTGATTTTGGGTTGTTCCACCGGGAGCAGCACACAGTGTCAGACAAAGAGGAAGTGACGAGTTAGTCAGCAGGCCAGGTTCCAGAAGACACACAGGGGAAGACCAGGGGGAGGTCTATAAAGTAGGAAAGTGCTTAGACCAGACAAAAATGCTAGCACCTGGGTAAAGTCAGCTCTCAAGGAACCCTGGAGCTCTGAGAGGACACTAGGTAAATAAAGCCCACAGATAATCCCCAAATCGTGTTTGATTCTCACTGTCACCTTCCTTCATTAGCCCTGCTTTTAGTACCTCGGCCACAGGGCCCTTCTTTTTGTTGCCTGAAAGACGTTATGGAGTACTGAGAGGTGAGATAAACTAAGAGACAGAAGGTCTGCCTTGGGCTGAGAGGAGTGGGAACAGCCTGGGCCTAGGTGAGTTCAGATCAGGGATCTAGTGCTAGTCCTGTCACTTATTATACAAGTGATCTTGGGCCAACTGCCAAGTGCTATAAGCCTTAGGTTCTTCGTCTGTGAAGTAGGTTTGATAAGCCCGATCTTGTAGGACTGCTGGAATGTAATGTAATTAAGTAAAGCAACTGGCACAGTGCCTCCTGGCATTTGTTGGATCATTAATGAATGGCAGTAATTTCTAAAACTTTATCTCTCTTTCCTCTGGGACTGTGTGTGTGTGTATGTGTGTGTGTGCATTCCATGACATCTCAGAGAATATGCAGCATTCTGGGACACAAAACATCAAGTGAGTCAAAAATGCTACTTTGTAGATAACAGTAAATTTTCCCCATTAGTGGATGTATTTTTAATTTGGATATGAGGAAGTCTTCTCCAGCTGAACGCAACTCAAAGCTCCTTGAATCTGAATCAAGGACTAACTCCTTTCCTCCCTCCCAGTGCCCTTCCGTTCAAACCACTATTTTCATTCATTTCATCCTCTTTGAAAATATGCTATTGCTTAGAGTTGTCCAAATTACACTCAAGATAACCTAATTAAAACATCCTTTCAAGGGAGTGGGCTCTGGCTCTGCCAGACTATGGAAAAAGTGCCAGCCTCTGGGCACCACTTCAAAGGATTATCACCCTATCATCAGGAAATCCTTGCAGACAATGTGTATAGAACACTTTACACACTGCATTGAGTGGCATGGGGACAAGACTGCAGGACACTTTCCACACCTGCTCCAGGTGGAGATTTCTCTCTGGTTTACCCACATCCCAAAGGAACTGCTAAAAGAAGTTTTCCATTCTAGGTTTTGCTCTCATCTGTAAGACACACCTATAGGAATAAATGAGCCAGTGAGCCAGGGCTCTCATTTATTAAGATTTAATTTCACATACATTCTTGAATTAGCCAAGCAAATCCAGGCACATAGCTTTAATTTTACAAAACAAAAGACTAAATGGGATACGGGAATCCTGGGATAATCATCTTTCATATTTTTCCCTATTTCTTGATCCCATCTATTTTACTGCTGGGCTCTTTCACATTTTTAAGGAAATTCCTATTCCAATGCCATGCTATCCTGCATCAGGCCACAAAATAAGATGGAAGGCTTCTGAATTTGTTTTACGGAATGGCAAAATTCTTATTCTTAAATCTGATAAGCAGCAATAAATATGTAACCAATGTCATTAATACACCTAGACTCTGAAACTAATAATCCTTTTACAAGGAAGAACATTTGAAAAATACCAAAAAGCAAAAAAAGATAAAATCTTCAACTCAACCCTCCACTGCTTAGAACCTTAATTGACCTCTTCAAACACAGAGTGGAGAATCTCCCTCAGAATTCACTCAAGGCAGGAGAAGCCGCTAGATGTGACACTGGAACTTTCACTGGCTATAGCAGTAGTACCATCGGTGGTGGCAACTTTCGTCTGGGCTCTCTCTTTCTCATCTCTCAAAGCTTCCTCATACCAGGATTGGAAGGAAGTGGGGTCAGCCCCACTGACCTTGGCGAAAAACTCCAGGACTTTCCTCTTGCTGGTTTCAGCATGGGCCCTTGGACCCCACAGGAATTTGTAGCATGGAGTATTGCTGTTGGGCATCTGCCAGTACTCCAGGTACTTTTCCTGCACTAAATCTTTGGTGATGAGCTTCCTGGGCTCCCCATAGATGAAATCCTTCCTCCCAGCATACACCTCAATCATATTCAGCACCTCCCAGATCCTCTTCTCAGGGCCACGGTTGCCTTCGATGAAGATCACACCCAGGATAAGTATCAGGAGGCCTGTCTTGGGCATGCCCTGGTCATCAGTCAGCATCCCATCATAGGTGAGGTCTAGTGTTTTGATGAGCACATAGGAGTGGCTGGTAGGATCCACTTCCTTCACTTCAATGCCAAAGACAACCTCCATGCACTCACAGACTTTCCTGAAGATTGCAGGGAAGTGGCCCTGGTGCTCTCTGATGATACTCTTCAGCATCTCTGCCTTTGTGACGGGCTCCTTTGTTATATACTTAACACTCAGGAACTGCACCGCTTCAGCCACCTTCTTGTTTAGCTCATCACTGAGCAAGTACTTAGGATCTGTTGGAGACTGAGAAGTGCTCGGACCCTCTTCTCAGCTGCTGGAGCCCTCATTTGATTTGCTCAATGGAGTGGCTTTGATGGCAGTGGGGGAGGAGCAGGTTTTCTGAGAACTCTGGGGAAGACTTGTTGTTCCAGCAGCAGGCACCACCTCTGGGGTGCCCTGGATCAAAGGAGAGACAGAGGAGGAGGCGACCTCCTTCCCCTCAGCTACAGGAACCTCTGCACCCATCAGGCCCTGAACCTCTCTTTGGGCCTGAAGGTCTAGTTCAAGCTTGCAGCACTGATTCTTCTGACCGTGAGGTATGATGACTTGTGTTGGGGGCAGCAGGCAGGAGTGTGGGCAGAAGGTGGGTGATGGGTGCCAATTGGCCTGAGGGAGAGAGGAAGAGTGTGAGAAACTCAACCTTGTCAGTTCTGACAAAGGCCATCTTAACAGGTCTTCCCTTAGATAGTGCTCAAGGGGTCTCCTGTCTTCCTGATTCATCTGTCCCCTAAGAACCTGTTGGAAGACCTGAGAAATTTCCTCAGGGTGTAGCCAGCTGGCACGGCCTGCAGATTCCAGGTCAAACAGTAGGGTGTGTGAGGTTGGCCACTGTGCTGTCCCTTCTGTTCTGGTGTGGGTAGGGGCCCTTGGTAGATATTCAGGGTCCTTACCTTGACTGACTCCTGGCACTGCCTGGCCTCCTCTGCTCCGCTCACCCAAGGACATATGCCTCAGACCAAGGCCCTCCCTCCCAGGGTTACTTGAGCCCCTGTAAGAGAAGTTGAGGGGGCACCTCAGGCTGCAGACTGCAATTACAACCCTGGCTCTCCCAGTGCTAAGAGGAGGGGGAGGGCCAGACTTTGTTATGTCCCCACTGTCCTGGGGTGGGTGGTCCCCTCACTGCTCACTCAGGTCCTCATCTTTCTCTTGACAGGACCTGGACTCCACCCCTCTGCTGGCTTGAGACAAAAGTCTCAGAACAAGAGCTCACAATCCTGAGACATCTGGCCACACCTCTCTAGGGCCTCCCTAGGGTGAAAGCAAGGGCTGGATGATCTCTGTGGGGATCCCTCTCTCCTAAAATAGGGGATCATCATCAATCTTCATCTTGGGATTCTTCCTTCTATTTGACTTGAGGTCACCCTCCTTAAACCAAGGCCTCACTTTCCTGATACAGCAGAGGAGGAAGTGAGGGGGTGCTGCATTCAACCACCAAGCCCTGGGTCCTATCACGGCTGACAGCAGGGCAGGGAGGGGCTGGGCCCCATCTGTTCTTGAGTAGGGGGTCCACCCCATCCTTAGATTTATCCCTCTGCTGAACTGAGTCCAGCGCCTTGAGACCACCAGGTGGGAGTGAGGGTGTCCTACATCTGGACACCATGCACCAGGGCCTCCCAGGGTAGAAGCAGGGCAGAGAATGGGTCTTATCTCTCCAAGGGCTGGGGGGGCCCTCAATCCTTATCCAGGGTCCTCACTTTAACTTCTGGCAGCGCCTGGGGCTGCTCCCTGGGCTGACCAATGTGACTCCCTCTGCTGATGTGAAGTTGCCCTATCAAAACAAGGCCTGCACCTCCCTGAGACCAATGAGACAAAAGTGAGGAGATGCCACATCCAGCCACCCCTGCCTCAGATTCCCCAGGCCAGCAGGGCCTGGACCTAGTATGTTTTGGGGTGGTGTGTACACTTAGTCATTCCCTCAGGGTATTCACCTCAGTGCCCAGCACGGGCTGGGACTTCTCCCTCTGGTGACGGGAGTCTGGCTTCCTCAGACAAAGATCCTCACCTCCCTGGGACTCCTCATGCCAACTGGAAATGAGATGAGACTCAGACTGACCTGCCTAGGGACTCCCAAGGCTGATAACAGGGGTTGGGCAGGTTTCTGTGGGAACTTCTTTGTACGGAGTGCGAGTCACCCTCAGCCCTTCAGAAGCTATTCATATTTACTCCTACAGGGTCTGCATTCTTTCCCTTCTTCTGTCCTGAGGATGCATCCCTCATGCCAGGGCAGTGTCTCCCAGAGATGCCAGATGAGGAAGTGAGAGAAGCACAGGGGACGGGAGGAGGATGCCTCTGCCTAACAGCCCCAATTGGGGTCTCCCAGGGCTGAGAGAAGGAGCAGGACAGGTCTGGAGACCCCTCGATCTGACTCCTGGTGGGGCTGGGGCTTCTCCCTCCGCAAGCTGAAGTTCCACCCCTCAGACCCAGGCTGTCATCTCACTAAGACTGCCAAGAAGGGAGTGAGGCTGGGCCTCAGCCTACAGGCCTGCCCAGGGTCTACCAAGGATGAGGCAGAGGCTGCACAACTCCCTCTGTGTTCTGGCTTGACAGTTACCGTCAGTCCTCCTCAGGGAATTCATATCTATTCCCTATAGGGTCTGAAACCCCTTCTTTTTGCTAACTTGAGGATGCTTCCCTCAGGCAAAGTCCCCCATCTCCCCTAGACACCAGGCAAGGAAGTGAGGAGGATGGAGGGGACATCAGTGCCTGACAGCCCTGCCTGGGGCCTCTCAGAGGTTTCTGTGGTGCCCTCTTTATCCTTTCAGCCCTACCTAAAGGTCCTCACCTTTATGCCTGGTAGGGCCTGGGACTCCTCCCTCTGATCACCAGAGGTTGGACCCTTCAGACCAAGGCCCTCACCACCCTAAGACCCCGGATTTGGAAATGGGGGGTAAAAGGGGGAAGTTCACTGCTTTATCTCCAGAGTCCTCAGGGCTGACCGAAGGGATCAGGGTGAATTTCTGTGGAGATTTCTCTGGGTTCTGTGGAAGGGCATAGCCCTAGTCCTTCCCAAATGATTCATTTTTACTCCCGACAGGGCCTGCAGGGTCTCCCTTCAGCAGACCTGAAAACGCAGCCCTCAAGCCAAGGGTCCCAAGTCCCGGAAACCGCCCACACACAAGTACAGATGACTGGCGGAAGTGCCTCTGCCTAACTGCCCCGCCCTGGGCCTCCCAAGGCTGACAGCAGGGATGGGGGTCTGTGGCCCTCTTCTGTCTGGTGAGCTCCCCTCAGCCCTCCATAAGGGTCCTCACCTAACAGCCTGGCAGAGCCTGGGACTCCTATCTCTGAGGACCCGAGGCCGCGCCGCCCCTCAGAAAAAGCCCTCAGTTCTCTCAGACTCCCAAGATGGAGGAGCAGATACAATACATCCGGCTTGCCAGGGGCCTCCCAGGAATGACTGCGGGGGCAGGGTCGGCGGAGAAGGGGCTGGGGCATACTCTGTGGTGAGAGCGCTCCTCAGTCCTTTGACTCCTCACCTTAATCCCCGGCAGGTTCTGGGACGCCTCCAATTGATGAAGCCTCCGGTCCCTCAGAATCCCAATGTGGAAGTTCGGGATACATCACACCCAGGAACCCTGCCTGGGACCTCCCTCAGGAATGACTGCAGGGGCTGAGCGTGACTGAAGGCCCTTCTACCTGTGGTGAGAGGTCCCCTCACTCCTCCCTCTGGATCCTCACCTTGAAGCTGGGCAGGGCCTGAGACTCCTCTCTCTGCTGACCCAAGTCCAGCCCCCTCAGGGAAGATCTCGCTTCCCTCGGATTCCTGAGGTGGAAGTCAGGATATAACATGTCGGAGTATCCTGCCTGGCATTTTCCCAGGGCTGACAGCACGGGCAGAGTGGGTTGCATTCCACTTTACTTGGGATGAGAAAACCCCTCAGTCCTCACCTTGACTTCTGGCACTGCCTGGGCTCCCCCCTCTGTCAACCTGAGGCTTCACCCATCAGATCAAAGCCCTTACCTTACCAAGACTACCAAGATAGGAGTGAGACCAGGCCTCAGCCTGACAGGCTTGTGTGAGGTCTACCAGAAGTGAAAGCAAGGGTAGAGTGGGTTTCTGTGTGGCTCTCTGTGTGTTCTGGGTTGGGGTTTACCCTCAGTCCTCCCCAAGGTATTGTGTTTTCTCCTAACAGGGCCTGCACCCCCTGCCTTCACAAGGTCCATATCTCTGAGATGCCCACCACAGAAATGAAGATGGTGTGGGTAGTGGCGCCTGTTCTTGATAGTCCCGCCTGGGTCCTCCCAGGGCTGAAAGCAGGGGTGCACTTCTGTGAGGCTCCTCTGTCTGGGCTAGGTGGGTGGCTAATTCAGCCCTTCATAAGGGTCCTTGCTTTGATGCCTGGTAGGGCTTGGGATTCCTCCCTCTGACTGGAGTCCAGCCCCCTCGGATCAAAGCTCTCACCTCCCTGAAAATGTACCCGGTCTCCTGGTGGAAGTCAAGGTCTGCCACATGTGGCCATCATACCCGAAGGTCTTTCAAGGCTAACAGCTGGGGTAGGATGGACGTGGGGACCAGTCTCTTCTGTGGTAGGAATTCTTCTTAGTCCTCCCTCAGGATCATCACACTGACACCTGGCACTGAGTTGGCCTTCTCCTTTTGTAGCGCTGAGTCCATCCACCTCAAAACAAAAGTGTAAGACAGCAAGTAACCCAAGCTTGTCATCTTGGCGTATACAGGTAAGGCAATAAATCTGTAAATAATTTAAGGACAATTGACATATTTCCAATATTCTGAATCAATCAGGAATATTTTATAGTTGCCTCCATAAAGATCTTGAACGTTTTTTGTGAAGCTGTTTCTTAGATAAGTTTTGGATTTTCATGCTGTTGTGAACGGGATATTTTAAAAAATTTCATAACACATTTATTATCCTACACTTTTTCCTAGAGACAAATCAGTAAAAGTTTATATTGTCAAGGAGAGAAAGGGCAATATCCCTTTATAAAATTTAATTTTATTTTACTTCAAGTTTTGTTGAATTATATTTGACAAATAAAAATTGTGTGTACAATGTGATGTTTAGCTATACATATACATTGTGAAATGATTATGATAATCAAGCTAATTAGCATATTCATTACCTCACATACTTACCTTTTTTTTTTGCGTGTGATGAGAACACATAAGTTCTACCCTCTTAGCAAATTTCAAGTATACTATAGTGTATGATTAACTATAGTCACCATGCTGTGTATCAGATCCCCAGAACTTATCCATCCCTCATAACTGAACCTTTGTACCCCTTGACCACCATCTCCCCATTTCCGCCGCATCTCAGACCCTGGCAACCACCATCTCACTCTGCTTTTATGAATTCAACTTTTTAAGATTCCACATATAAGTGAGATCATGCAGCATTTGTCCTTTCCTGTCTGACTTACTTCATTTAGAATAATAGCTTCCAGGCTCATCAATGTTGTCACAAATAACAGCATTTCTTTCTTTTTAAAAGTTGAATAATAATATAGTATTCAAGTATATATATATATACACACACACACATTGAGAAATATTATATATATATATATATATATATACACAAACAATGGAAATATATATATGTGTGTGTGTATATATATATATATATACTTACATATCACATTTTCTTTATCCATTCATCTGTCAACTGACACTTAGGTTATTTCCATATCTTCGCTATTGTGCATGATGCTGAGATGAATATGGGAGTGCAGATATCTCTTTCAGATACTGATTTCATTTCCTTTGGATGTATACCCAGAAGTGAGATTGCTGGATCATATGGTAGTTCTTTTATAATTTTTTGAAAATCCTCCATACTGTCTTCCATAGCAGTTGTACCAATTTACATTCCAACTGAGTACACAAGGGTTCCCTCTTCTCCACATCCTCTCTAAAACTTGTCTTGATAATAGCCATCTTCACAGGTGTGAGATGATAATCTCATTATGGTTTTCACTTGCAT